TTTTTTGAATCTCTGGAAGACGTCTGAGGAGGAGGGGGAAGCCTAAAAGGCTGGAGAGCGACACGGTGCGAACAACGCTAGAGGGAAGAGATGTCGTGAAGGAAGCCGTTCGCTCCTCAGCGATTACCCTATCGGAGCAACATCAGGAAATTTTTGAAATTTCAAAGTCGTTTTCGTACCGCGACATAAATCTAAAAACTTTTCAATATGAATGAACCTTTTCAGCATCTAGTTGTAATTAACATTCAGGAACTGCTATGGGATTCTTAAACTGTTTAAAACACCATTCTTTTTCTTTCATTTTACTGCTCTACTGAGGAAGGATTGAAAACAGAAATGACGAACTCTCTCTAGCGGACCAATCCGGCTAGTGAGAAAGAGATCACCGAAGAGTCTTTCTTTTCGAAAAATAAGGGGTAAAAGAAGGTTAGTTCCTACAGACTTTTTCCATATTTCTCCTGCGGAATTAAGGACTTTTTTATGCAGCATTTAAATTCGCATTTTTTATCATCTCAATCTCGATTAAATGCATAATCACAGATCTGTAGAGTACGCCTGTCCTAATCTTTTGAACCTTGGCGTACTTTTTAAATCCGTTCCACAATTACGCGTACATTCAGCGTTACTCTGAGGCTGCCGACAAGAATTACCTACTATTTGAATCAGACTAAAGTCAGTAAAAGGAAATATTTCAAAAATAAAGACTTTGCAGTCCCCTGATTTGATATTCTCCATTAAAACACAAATACAGTACTGCCGTATTGTTTCAAGAGCCTTCCGCTGAAGTTTAGACTCGTAAACCTCATAGACATTCAAAAGTTCTGTGTACGTACTGTCCAAAGGAAAACATTGTAAAAACAAAAAATGTTTGCGACTGGAAGTTTATTCCTAATTAAAAATGCAACAACTACTATTTAAGCGGCTTGTGAATCACTCATATATTGTCAAACAGTCATCGTGAAAACAGGAGAGAAATTCGTAATTTAAAAAAGAGACGGTTTACAATTCAAAATACTCCAGCCTACTATTTCTGAACTAAAGGTTGCCCCTCAAAAATTAAACTCTTTAACTCTTTCACACTTCTAACCTAAAGGTTAAGGTGCTTCCAGTGCTCATATATACATTTACATATGCACCTATATATTAATATTTACACTAATATACCAACTGCACAGGTGCCTCACACAATTACCTCACAGACAATGGTCATTCAGTCAGTCGACTGACTGCTGACGAAGCTGTGAAAAACAACACTCATTAATTTGGCGTACTGCCAATATAGTTGAAGCGTAAAGTTCGTTATGAAACTTCAATTTTCTGCCTTAGGCTGCGCTTAGGAGTGAAAACTACTGAAAACTTAATTATGATTAGCTCAGTCATTACGCCAGTCCTTTGGTGGATCCTTTTGTTGATGCGACTTCTGTGGGTTCTGAAGACATTATTAGTTGTAGTCACTGTAAAAAATTAATATCTTCAGTTCGATATATTAGGGTCTTTTTCTTTTTTTGCAGAGAATATAAGTGAACTTAGTTCAACGAAATACACCCTGTGAAGATGACTGTTGCTCTCATGATTCTAAAGTTTTATAGATCTGTTAGTTTTTTTTTGTTCAGTTTTATGGTCTTATTTCTGACAGTAAGTTGTTTACTACGCTAATGTAGCTTCGCGCTGTTCATTAGATGTTTTACCTGACGATCAAGTTTTTGAAATAGTCGAAATTTGTGGATTTTTTGATTTCAGAGAGGATAGTAGAAGGTAGTTAGGTTTGTTTTCAGATTCGTTTTATTAGTTATTTTTATGCCCGAAATTGTAAAATCTTGGTCGTTTTTTAAACGGCTTAAACGTGGGGTATCTGGCATAGCGAGAAATATTCTCACTTCACTACCAATTTGGATGCTGGACCTGGTGGAAACCCTATTAGAAGTAATTAAAGGCATCCTAGATTAAATATCATGAAAAATGTGTCTGTTTTGGCACTGTGCTCACTTCTCGCGTTGGTTTAAAGTCGTGTAGTTTCCGTTAAAAGCTTAATTTTCTTGACCTTTCTTTTTACTTTTTTTTTTTTTCCTTAGTAGGCATTGTAAGAGTCGCGAACTGCGCGCTAAGATTTTCACGTAATGGACGACGTTTTGAACCAGTTTGTGTGTGTTAACTTCACAAGTCTTCTAAAATTACCTGATTTTTTTAATATCTTATTTAAAATTTTGATCAAATAGTGAAACGTATGCCGTTGAAAGGAGGGTTGTTTTAAACGCTTTTTTAAAACAGTCACGGACTGAACTGAGCAAGCATTTCTTTAAATTAATTCATAGCTGCCGTCACCACTTAATAGCAAACAATCTTAACATACTCTATTGCTTGGTTTTGTTGTTTTTAGAATTGCATGAATGATGAAGAACACAAAAAAAGCTGTCAAATAATTTAGTCCTCTTTCACATGTTATATATTGTATGGTTCCAC